CAGCGTTCTGTGGCAGGGACCGTGAGAGCTCGCACGTTAAATTTCAGGTGCCTCTCAGTTCGGCAGCTGATTGTTGCGCTGAACCTTCTGAGGATACGTTGTCTTTGGCTTCAGCCGCTGTACGAGGTTTCGGCCCGTGCTTGAAGCGCAGACGACGGGTGGCCGGTCTGCGCAAGTCGTGGAGTTCGGACTTTCTCCTGCAGACAGTCCATCAGCGCGACGATTACGACGACGACCTCGACAACCCGCTGCCTTCTCGGAGCAGTGGCATAATTTCTCACTTGATAACCTGTCTGCAGAATCACATATGGCAAAAGTGCCGACGGGCGTCGTTGGAAACACTACCTCCTGCGTCTAGTCGCCTGTCGGCGTGCTATCGTCGCCAACGTCCTCGCGATGCGTTTCTGCACAATCCATACACCGTCACAGCCACTGCCACTGCCACTGCCACCACGACCGACCGCGTACTACCGTCGGTGTCCGGATCTGTGGTCGTACGACGACGACGACGACCTTACGACTCTGACACCGTACGTTTCAGTGTGTGTACATAAATGCATCGCTTCCGGAGCAAGCCGTTCGTGCGTTTCGATGTTGTTTCGATTCGTCATCGTTGTGTTGATCGTTTCTTCCCTCCACTCCTTCTGTCCATAAACAGATGGTACCTGTTCGGGCTTCATAGCGGATGGATACATTTCTGGCCACTAATACAACAAACGATTAAAATGTCGAATTCGAGCGACGACGCGTACGTCTCTTCTTCGTCGTATGCTTATGATCATATGGTAACCACCAATCTTGTGATCTGGTTCTCAACGTCGAGGGCGTGTATTTTAAAGAGCTTTGATGATTAGCTTGTTGCTCTAGCTGATAACTGATCAGTGGTCTGACACAAAACCGACCATTTCTCGATATCTGTGTGTCCTAGAGTTCTATACACGGCGTCGTGTATCGTTGTCTATCACCTTGTCATTGTTGGCGCATGCGTCGATATTATTATGATTATCATTATTATTATTATTATTATTAAACGTGGAAGCGTGTGTAAAAGTGTCTTGCGTGCGGTCCGTCAGTAACACTAACGCAATGCGTAATCAGAGCCTTCCGTTGCTGCTACCGGTTCGTGGAGGTACTAATTTACACTACTGTTTCAGGGCGATTCGC